GATGTCATCGTATAGTTTTTGAAGAGGAAGATGGAAATCCTGTTAGTGTAAAAGTAAAATTATGTGATGGCTTCGAAGTGCCAGTTATACGATGACATCGTCTTATTGATCCGTTTAGCCAGTCAACGATGTGCTTCAATGGACTATGTCAACGAGAATTCATGATTAAAATGAAAATCAACATAAAATTAAGGGTTTAAATCACCAAATCTAGGTTTCATGCTTTAAACCAACGAAAATGGTAAACTGATGATTTAAATGATATTTTTCCCTTTTTAAAACCAACTAATACATAAGTATCTTCATTTCGGCTAAAAATTCATATAATAACGAATACAAATCTCGAATAAAATATTTTGGATATGAAAAATTACACAACAAATTTGTATTTTTTTTTTAAATAAACAAAATTATATGGATACGATATACAATTATTTTATATATATAAAATCACTACCAAAATAGACAAGAGTCAAATTCATGTTAGAATATTCCAGACAACTATGGATAATTTTAGATAATTTTAATAACTTTTAGATAATTTTAAAATTTCGAAAAAACAACTCATATCTATACTAAAATAGTAAAATATAATTTAAAATATCATAATTTTAATAATGTTCTTACACTTTATCATTATATTATTTATTAAACTAGTAGAGAGCAATAGAAAATAATTATTATATAATCATGTTAATTTTTATTTTTTTCCAACCACACATTAATTAAAAATTCATTCCTTGATTGGTAGCCCAAGTAGGAGGAAGAGTATTTACATAAAAAACTTTCGAAAGTAAAGATCTAAAGGTCTTGGCTAATAATTAGTCTAGAGATTACAAGAACAAGAAATACTTAACAGCGAAAATAAAGGAAAATTAGCACGAAGCAAACCAAACTCTACGAGGAGAATGGATAAAGCGGACCAATTCTCAGGGGACTCCACCATTGAGACTATCTCTGCACAATCTATTTCAAGAAACTGTCAATTTATCCTCTTGATAGGATATTCTTCATGCCCATAATAAGATTTCATAATCATGTTAATTTCTGAAATTAAATTTTAAATAATGCTTTGACAAAGCTTTTCATTAATTATTTACATATTTTTAATAGTTCAAAAATTAAATATAGAAGAATAACTCAATTTTGCGAACGAATATATTATTTATATTAGTATAATTTTAGATAATTTTAATATTTATTACTAGTATAAGAGCTAGGAAGCATGGAAGCGCCGTCCAACCTCCGATTCTCGCTTCGGAACCGGAAGCGGGTGCGGAAGCGACCGGAAGCGACCGGAATCGTGATGGAAGCGCGGTTCCAGAAAATTGAAGATTGGAAGCTTCTGGGAAGCGTTCGATTCGGACTTGGAAGCGTGGTTTTTTTATCAACGGAAGCGCAGCCTTCCCACAGAAACCCACCCGTCGTTTATCCTCACAAACTAATCCAGAGAGTAGTGAATCAAGAAGAAGTACGTACCTCCGGTGAACAGATCTGACGTGGAGATCACAAGAGAGTAGAGAGAAGACACAAAGCTCAAAACTTTATCCAAAAACAAAAACAAAAACAAAAGTCAGGTGAAAGTGAAGAGCAAGGACAACAAACAGAGAGAATTGATTCCTCTTCTCCTAAGCTCATGAAGATACAGAGCCAACATGAAAGACCCTTTTACCCTTCTAGTTGTGACTAATTACTGATATCCACAACTTGTGCTTCTCACGTGTCAATGGAGAGAGGTTGTCTTGAAACCTCTGATTGCTTGAGAGTCTTCATGACACCAAAACCTACATTATTGTTAACAATGCATTTCTTACTTTTGATGACTATATTTATTATTCTACATGTATATTTCGTTTGGTTTAAAATTTTCTCAATTATCATGCATATCCAATGGTTAGTGTAGAGTAAATTAAATATTTAATAAATCTATATATATATATAATATGTATATATTTACGCTTCTAACACGTACCCGCTTCCTAACTTTTTTAAAAAACTCGTTTCCCCGCTTCCAAACGCTTCCGCTTCCACGTACCCGCTTCCGATTCCATGCAGCTTAGTATAAGAGTTAGTTAAACCATTAGATAATTTTATCTATTTTGTTTAGATATTTTTTAGCTATTCTATTAATATTCAGAACTATTTGACGATATTTTTTTGTTAAAATATTAATTATTTTGATGGATTCTACCAAAAATCACGAAAAAAAATCAACTAGATTCAACAATTACCGTTTAGAAATATTAAAATTCAGCTAGATTCATCGGTTACCATTTAGACCTTAAATGCTTTTTTATTACTTTTATTTTTTGTAAACTTTTTTATAACGTCAAAATCAATATTCACGTTTCAAACATCAGAAAATGAAGCAACGTTTGCAAGTTTGAGAGTGAAAAGTCAGTCTTTATCAAAATCAAAATCTCTAATGCATCCACGATTAATACAACAATGCAATAAGATCCAAAAGAAACCAGAGAAGTAGAAATTAAGGTTGGGTCTTCTCGAAGAAGATCAAGGTTTGGTCTTTTATTGGTATGTCAATCATGAAGTTTTTTCCATGGGACGGTCTTTAAATTTGCATGCTTTAGTTCAAGATGGGTTGTTGCCATAGGCGAGGATGATCTTGAATTGTCGTTGAACCAACATCTCAAAGACACTAAGGAAGCCAATGTCTCTGGTGATGACAACGATATTTGAGAGTACTCTCTGATCTCTCAATTGTTGATGTGTCCATGGCGTCATCTTAGCGATGCATCGCTTATCGGTTGTATCCTTTTTTCTGGCACAGTTAGGGTATCTGACACAAAGCTTAGCCACCTTGTCCAGAGTCATACTTCCCCTACATTGTCTAGGTCCTGGACCACCTTTTATAGATGGTTTGTTTTTTTATCCGAATAAATCAAGATTCAAAGATCTCTATGCATGGGTTGATGTTGAGGAAGAACAAAGAAGAAATTACCGCAGACTAGTAATTAGTTGGATGAGCCAATTCTCTAGCATAATTGATAGATCTCGATGACTATTAGGTTTCACGTCACACTAAGAAGCTCAATGCTCATTGGGCCAGTGGCGCAACGTATGACAATGGATTTGTAGATCGATCAAGAAATTTAAACTATCTCTTGTACCTACTTCACTCAACTAAGAAACTTACAGAAATCTCTTAGGATGGACTTTTTGTTTGATGAAGTTAATCGAATCAAAGCAAGGAAGAAGAGAAAATATCTTGTAAATTAATATTCAAAAGCTCCTCAAAACAAAAACTAGGTTAAACTTTATATAAGGTTTTGGTTTCCAATGACAAAAATTAATAAGAACTCTAAAAATGAAAATACTAGGTTAAACATTCCATTATAAGCATTAATCGGTTCATTTTCAAACTTAAGAATAAAATTGTAAAGTTCAAGTCATATAATAGCTGCGTCTTATTTTTTATATGTTAACTTGATTTTGAGTTTCATCACATTGTAGGCATTAATCGGTTCACGCTAATCATATTATCATAAATATTTAGTATTTAACCAATTATTCAGATATAATTTTCTCTACCACAACATGAAAAGCGATAAATTTTGAAATTGCACTAAAATTTCACCAGAACATAATAAAATAAAAAAGAAAGACAAACTTTAAAATTGAGTTAAGTTCTCATGGTGTTTAATGAATGACGAGGACAAGTTGATATCATTGAAGTTCTAATGTAGCCAATTTAGTCGTTTGGGTCTTGGTTAGACGATAATGTGTATACTATCTTTTTGTCAACAATATGCATTGTAACAAATTCAAATTTAGATGACATGTCAATTATGCTAGCACAAATTACTACATTACATATTTTTGTCTACATGAACAATATTTAGATTATCGTATCTGTAAATTTAACTAGCTCAAAAACAATAATATTTTTATTTGTTACATTATAATTTATTTGAGTAAAGAATATGGAAGCTCCCACTAAGGAACTGCTAGACTTACCGGTGGAAATCTTGCCACGAGTTATGGCAACAAATCCCACTTCTTCAATCAAATTCATCAAGATAAATAGTGCAATAAATGCAGCCTAGCATATATTTCGGAATATACCAAATAATTTGAAAGGTACAAATTGGAAGGAATGGATAATGCATGTTAGAAGCCAAGGAGGGTGTGATACATGTTTATCCGTTATAACTAATAAACTTATCAGTGCGTTGATGTTCATTAAGGAGATAAACACAAGGTACATTGAGTACTCATCACATGATCTTTTCGATTTTTTTGATTCAGAGAAAGCAAGAAATTGTAGGAGGGATGACACTGTTGTTATACTTAGAGTATATGGACATGATTAGGCTATGTTCTACAAGAAGAACTTCAAAGAGAAGTGGACAGACCCTATAAGAGATGTAGACATACTAGTCAAATAATATCGGCACAAACTTTATCAGGATTAGCACACATAGATGGTCTGGAGAGGCTAACTTTTGATGAAGGACTTGGCAAGTAGGAAACCGAGCCACTTAGAGCCTCGTTACACATCTTTATGTCGGATTATAAGAGCTTGCTAAAAATGGGATCTATCGTGGCCTCATGCTTAAAGACTCCGAGTTTAGTGTAATGCATGCAGTATCTATTGGTTTTTGGGATGCATGATACCTTAAGGTGTCGATAGAAACAATGCGTGTCCAAATAGCTAAAGACGACGTGATTCTCGCACTAGGCATAGTTCTAGATTACAAATTTGTGAATCCTAAACCAATCTTATCAACTTTCGTTGTCCAACTCTTAAAGAGGCTAGTTCGATGAATTGCAAAAAAACGAATTCCATACTTTTCAAGTGTGAGAATGATGAAAATAAAATGTCTATAAACATAATCATAGACTATACAAACAGTTTCGAAAAAAAAGACTTGTATGTTGATACCGGGCCTAGGCCCAGGCCCAGTTGTACTAAAACCCAGCTAGAAAGAAAAAAAAACACACTCAAAACACGACACCGTTTCGAAGGAAACATCTTGAACCTTCTGCAGATTCCGATTCCTGAAGCTAGATCGTCACGTTGATCGATCACTGAATCTTTTGCTAAGATTCTGAGTTCAAGAAGATGGTGTTGATCGAATCTGATGAAAGCGATGATGAAATCACCGTTAAAGAAGAGCTAAATCAATCTCGTTCTTCCTCGTCGCAGCCCGAAACAACGACAGCGACGGAGTCAAAACTTGTAGCCGGAGATGATTCCGATGGATTCGAAACTGCTAGCGAACGAGAAGTGAGTGATAACGAAGAAGAAGATGAAATTGAACAGATACAACAATCAGATAAGCCTGAGAATAAAGATGACGAATCAAAACAGGTAAAAATCTAAATAAACTTCTCTGTAAAATTCTTTATCTGAATCAAAGCTTCGATTTCACTCTAATGGTTAATTATGTGTGTTTTGGAAGAAGAAAGCTATGGAAGATGCAAATGAAGCTAAATTAGAAGGAAACAAACTATTTGGGAATGGTGTTTATGAAGAGGCATTGTTAAAGTATGAGCTTGCTTTACAATTTGCTCAGGAGGTTCTAGAATCTGAGGAACTTCGTTCGATTTGTTATTCGAATAGAGCTATATGTTATCTCAAATTGGTATGATTTGACATTGTGTTACATTCTTTTGAGTAGTAGTCAAGATTGGTGATTGTGATGATCTCTGTAATGTAATGTGTTTCTTCAGGGTATATATGCAGAAGCAATTGAGGAATGTACAAAAGCGATAGAGCTTAATCCGAGCTATACGAAAGCTTTTGTTCGTCGTGCGGAAGCTCATGAGAAGCTGGATTTGCTTGTTAATTACATGAAGAGTGATGTTATAAATTAAAGGGCAAGAAATTGTTTTAATAAGAATAGTTTGTTTACTTATTGTTTTATTATTGTAATCTCAATTCAGTATTTTAAAAATTTTATTTTTCTGTAACTTGAAATGAAAGGAAAAAATGTGTTACTCATAGAAAAGTGAGTATTTATTATGTTGTATGTCCTTATTTATGGAATATACGATGATGCCAAGCAGCAACAATAAATAAGAAAATGAAAAAGCATTAAAAAAGTTTTGTAGCTACACATTTGCAAGCTAAGAAATAAATAAATTTTGACATGTGTTTGATGTAATTGATGAGTTGTCAACTTTAAAGTATATAGCTAACTTTTGATGAATGATTTGTCAATAATATTTTTTTAAAAAATTAGATACAATTTGAAACGTGTAATAAATGATGAGCATATATATTACTATCCACACATTTCTTTTTCGTAATGGGTTTATGATTTATCCACCCTTCTCTTTCTGCAAGCTGTGATGTTAGATAAACAATTCAAAAGACTGACAATGCATTTTTATTACTTTTTTTTTTGTTTGTGTTTTTTAAAAAAAAATTATTTTAACAGAAAACAATATTCACGTTTCAGATATCAGAAAATGAAGCAGCATTTCTTTATCAAAATCAATATCTCCAATGCATCCACGTATTTAGTACAACAACATAATTAATGAAACAAGATCCAAAAGAAACTAAATAAGTAGTAGAAACTAAGGTTCGGTCTTCTCAAAAGACAATCAAGGTTTGGTATTTTTCTTGGTATGTCCATCATGAAGTTTCTTCCATGGGACGGTCTTTAAATTTATTTGATTTAGTTCAAGAGATGAGTTATTGCCATAGGCAAGGATGATCTTGAATTGCTGCTGACCCTACGTCTCAAAGACACTAAGGAATTCAATGTCTTCGGTGATAGCAACAATATTTGCGGGTTCTCTATGATCTCTCAATTGTTGATGTTCTTACGTCGTCATCTTAGTGATGCATCGCTTGTCGGCTGTATTCTCCTTTTCTCGAACGGTTGGGGTATCTAACACAAAGATACCATGCATACCACCAAGTTGTTAAAGCTTTTAAGGAAATATGCACCAAGTCCCTTCAGGTTGGAAAGACGAATCACACACGTGATCAGCATGAAGAAAACAAGACATGTACTTCACATTGAACAATTATGAAGTGTATATTAGGCGGGAAGTGTAAGCGATAAGCATTATCATTTATACGGTCAAGAATTTCAATGGGACCTAGTTTCTTTGCTTTTAACTTGTTATACTCACGAGCATGCATACGGTTTTTAGTTAAAATAGCCCATTGTAGTCATTAATCGGTTCATTTTCATTTTTAAGAATAAATTGTAAACTCCAAATCATATATTAATTGCGTTTTTTTTTTATGTTAACATGATTATGAGTTCCATAACATATAGGCATTAATCGGTTCACGCTAATCATATTTTATAAACATTTAGTATTTAACCAATTATTCAGATTAATTTTATCTACCACAACATCATAGCGATAAAATTTAAAATTGCACTAAAATTTCACCTGATTTTAAAATTGAGTTAAGTTCTCTTGGTGTTTAGTGAATGACGAGAACACGTTAATATCATTGGAGTTCTAATGCAGCCAATTATTCTAGTCATTTGTCTTGGTTAGATGATAATGTATATACTATCTTTTTGTCGACAATATGCAGTGTAACAAATTGAAATTTAGATGCCATGTCAATTATGCTAGTACAAATTACTACATTAATTTTACTCTACAAAAACAATATTTAGATTATCATAATTTGCTACATTATAATTTATTTATATATGTGGTGGACCGGGGTAAGACCTCAAATCCCAAGAATTATCCTTCATACATAGACAACTATTCTTGTAATTGAATGGAAACGTCAATGTTATATAGACCTTGTATGGCTTTCACCACATAGACATCCCAACAAGTAACGTTTGATGAAGGACTTGGCAAGTTTAATACCCAGCCAATCAGAGCCTCGCTATAGATTCTTATGTTGGATTGTAAGCTTGCTAAAAAAGGGATCTATTATGGCCATATGCATAAAAGACTCTGAGTTTAGTGGAATGCATGCAGTATCTATTATTTATGTGGATGAGGAAGACGGAGAGAAGTTTTTCATGGTAAAATATATTCATGTAAATAGTGTTTGGGATGCATGATACCTTAAAGTGTCGATGGAAACAATGTTTGTCCAAATAGCTAAAGACGACGTGGTTCTCGCACCATGCATGGTTCCTGATGACAAATTTGTGAATCCTAAGTCATTGCTTCTCAACTTCTGGTGTCCAACTCTTAAAATAGGCTAATCCGATGAATTGCAATTAAGGGGAGTGACACGAAGAATGTGATCGGACGAAGTACTTAGTAGTTCTTTCTTATTTTTTATTTTTAATTCAAACATACTTTCTAGTTCTATGGGAGTTTGATAGTTTGGATATTTTGTGGTAAACTTCATTTTTCATATTGGAATTGGTTTTGATGTTTTGGGGGGAAAAAAATAGTATTTTGATTTGCTACTTTAGATAAATTAGTTCATGTATTCAAGTAAAAATAGATAAATAATTAGTATATTTTTTTATAAAACTCTTTTTTCTTAATTTTTCCATGGATTAATGTTTAAAACTTTTTCCATTGATTGATGATTTAAATTTCTCCATTCTAACACTTGAAATTACATATCAAGTCAAAAAAACATTGACAACAAAACGAATTCCATACTTTTCAAGTGTGAGAATAATGAAAATAAAATGTCTTTTTTTTGTGCAACCAAAATGTAAAATGTCTATAAACATATAATCATAGACTAAACTTAAGACCAACAAAAAAAATTGTATGTTGATACCGGGCCTAGGCCCAGTATAACCCAGCTAGAAAGAAAGAAAGCAAAAAAAAAAAAAAACGAACGACACCGTTTTAAAGGAAACATCTTGAACGAGATCGTCGTTGATCGATCACTAAGATGGTGTTGATCGAATCTAACGAAAGTGATGATGAAATCACCGTTAAAGAAGAGCCAAATCAATCTCCTTATTTCTCGTCGCAGCCTGAAACAACGACAGCGACGGAGTCAAAACTTGTAGCCGGAGATGATTCCGATGGATTCGAAACTGCTAGCGAACGAGAAGTGAGTGATAACGAAGAAGAAGATGAAATTGAACAGATACAACAATCAGATAAGCCTGAGAATAAAGATGACGAATCAAAACAGGTAAAAATCTAAATAAACTTCTCTGTAAAATTCTTTATCTGAATCAAAGCTTCGATTTCACTCTAATGGTTAATTATGTGTGTTTTGGAAGAAGAAAGCTATGGAAGATGCAAATGAAGCTAAATTAGAAGGAAACAAACTATTTGGGAATGGTGTTTATGAAGAGGCATTGTTAAAGTATGAGCTTGCTTTACAATTTGCTCAGGAGGTTCTAGAATCTGAGGAACTTCGTTCGATTTGTTATTCGAATAGAGCTATATGTTATCTCAAATTGGTATGATTTGACATTGTGTTACATTCTTTTGAGTAGTAGTCAAGATTGGTGATTGTGATGATCTCTGTAATGTAATGTGTTTCTTCAGGGTATATATGCAGAAGCAATTGAGGAATGTACAAAAGCGATAGAGCTGAATCCGAGCTATACGAAAGCTTTTGTTCGTCGTGCGGAAGCTCATGAGAAGCTTGAACATTTCGAAGAGGCTCTCACGGGTGAGTCTATGCACGTATTCTCTATCGAGTTGAGGAATCATTTGTTAGTTTTTCTAGTACTATAATGCTTTGTCAACAGATTTGAAGACGATATTAGAACTGGATCCTTCAAACGATCAGACTAGAAAAGGGATTCGACGGTTGGAACCCTTGGCGGCTGAAAAGCGAGAAAAAATGAAAGAAGAGGCGATTGGTAAAGACCTTGTTATGTTTCTTATTAAGAGTAGCGAATCTTGAGTCTTGATCCAAACTTTTTGATGATGTGAGATAATATGTTTTGGTGGTGTTTTAACAGCAAAGCTAAAGGAGATGGGAAACTCGATCTTGGGTCGATTTGGGATGAGTGTAGACAACTTCAAGGCTGTTAAAGATCCCAACACTGGCTCTTACTCCTTTTCTTTCCAAAACTAGTCGACACTTTCTAATGCACAACTTATTCCTAGTGGGTTTCAATGTTTTGCATCAACCAATTTTATGTTCATCGGGGGTATATCTATTCGTTTTGTTGTCGATGAATCGGTATTGGAAAGTGAGAGCTGCGTTGGTTGCTTTGTGACCTGATATATCTGTAAATTCAAGTATTATAATGGAGAAATTTCTATTTTGATGTTCTTTGCTCTGTTCCAAAATTCTGCAGCGTAGGTCAATGCTTTAAAAAACACCGAAAGTATTGATTTTGTGGAATTGGTCAAAAACATTAGTCAGTTTAGACGCGAGGCCAATTAATATTGAACTTTTTATACAAATTGTTTAAAATGGAGAAATACACGAAAATGTATAATTAATCTGATATTTCAATCTTTAAATCATATTTCTATATGATAATAAAATGAATTATCTTCATATAAAGTACCAATTACCAAATCATCAGACTAAAATGTATAATTTTATTATCAAATAAAATACGAAAACAAGAACTAATAATAGATAGTGCCAACATTAATAGTTTCTTACTTCCTCTATTTTAAATTACTTGTCGTTTAAGGTTTTTGCACAGGAAATAAGAAAACAATTAAATTTATTTTACTCTTGTTTAATATATTTTTTAAAAAAATTTATTGGTCAAGACATTAAAACTGTGAGGATAAAACTACAGTAGAACCTCTATAAATTAATACTCTATAAATTAATAAATTCTTCCGCTCCCGAGTTGGGACCAGTGTAAAATATGACATAAATCGATAAATTAATAAGATAATATTTTTTTTGAAAATCCCATGTAAACATATGGTCCCATCTATATCATAAATTAATAATTGTATAAACTTATCAATATATATATATATATATATATATATGATATAAATTTATATATGTCATATATGAATTACTATGATATATATTTAAAATATTATATGTAAAACAATTAATGAAATATGACTCTATTATTCGAAAAATTTTTGTGTTATTTTTTAAACTTAATAATTGCTTCTCTACATGTAATTAGTTTTTAAAAGATATTCTTTATAGAGAAAAAAATTATTTTTAGATAAATTTTTTTTAAGAAATTACAAAATTAGTAAAATCTCTTTATAAATTAATAATTATTAATTTATCGATAAATTAATACCTCTCTAAATTAATAAAAATTTTTGGTCCCAACATTATTAATTTATAGAGGTTTTACTGTAGAATCATCTACATTAAAAATCTAACACGACAACTATTTTGAAACAAAATTTAAGTACTAAAACGATAACTAAATTAAAACGGAGGAAGTAATAAATATATATTACAATATATACTTATAAGAAATAAATTAACGTAAAACCACTATAAATTTAGTCAGGATGTCGGCATGAGATTCCTCTGGTTAATAAAAAGTAAAATAACGTAAAACCTATATAAATAATACTTTTTTTGTTTAGAAGGATACAACTAAAAAAAATTGATCATATAAGGTTAGTGTTTGGATGCTATCAACATAGCAGTTTTGGCTTAGACAATTAATATTCCCTAACATTGTTGTTATTAGTATGATATTTGAAGCAATTAATATCAACAAATGATGATGAATTCACTTGTGAAAACATTCACAAATATGATCATATATATTTTTCTTTATCTTTTCATATGGTGTGATTTTCTAATATATTGATATTTCATAATAATAACATGCAAATTGTTGCATTTTTAACAGATATCAGGATTCTTCCACCATTGTTAACAAACCCAGAAGATGAGCTAAAAGACCGTTAGAAGAAGAAGAGAGAGAGAAGAAAGAATCTGATATTTCTCATTAAATGTTTAATGTGTACAAAGTATAGTATTTATAGTCCTAAGACTTTAGCTAAAATACACATTTTATCTAAGTGTAAAATACTCTTCATACACCCCCGCAAACCTTTTAATCCGAAACATGTGAAGGATCAAAAAGGTTTGATAAAGACATCCTTGTAAGCAGTGAATGGAAAACTCGATGATGTAGAGGTTTTGTCAGTATATCGGCCAACTGATTCTCACTTGTGACATGTAGCAACTTCAGGTTTCCAAGCTTGATCTGATCTCTGGTTGTATGGCAATCTATCTCAATGTGTTTCGTTCTTTCGTGAAACACAGGGTTTGTAGCAATGTAAATCGCTGACTTGTTATCACAGAAAACCTTAGCAGTCTTTGTGACAGTAACACGAAAATCTTTCAGAAGCTGTTGAATCCATAGTATTTCTCTTGTAAGATCAGCAAGACTTCTATACTCTGCTTCTGTACTACTTCGACTTGCCACTTGTTGTTTCTTAGCTTTCCATGAGATTAGAGAAGTACCTAAGTATACACAAATACCAGAAACTGATCTTCTACTATCAGGGCATGTTCCCCAATCTGCATCCGCAAAGGCATTAATGCACAATTCAGTATCAGCAGAGTAAAAGAGACCCTGTCCAGGACTTCCTTTTAGATATCTGAGAATCCTGTGTGCTGCCTGAAGATGAACATCAGTCGGAGATTGAATGAACTGACTAAGCGTATGCACAGCATAAGTAATATCTGGCCTGGTAATTGTCAAATACAGTAGGCGTCCAATAAGTTCTCTAAATGGTGTTGCAGAAGGTAGAAGAGTACCAGTGTCCTTGCTCAAAGTAACATACGGATCCATAGGCACAGTACTAGGCTTGCATGCTAGTAAACCTGCATTTTCCAGCAAATCCAAAGTATACTTTCTCTGACAAACCGATATTCCTTTAGAAGTTCTTGCTATTTCCAAGCCTAAGAAAAATCTGAGAGGGCCGAGATCTTTTATCTTGAAAGCTTTAGCCAGAACTGCTTTCACAGCCTTTAAATCTTCTGCGTTGTTGCTAGCAATAGCTATGTCATCCACATAGACCAGTAAAGCTATAAAGCTTGTATCAGTGACTTTAACAAACAAAGTCGTATCAGACTGAGATTGAATAAAACCATCACTGAGCAGAACAGATGTAAACAACTGGTTCCATTGCCTAGAAGCTTGTTTCAAACCATAAATCGATTTATGTAATCGGCATACAGGGTTAGGAGGCAAGGGATCTGATGTACCGGGAGTATAGCCTTGTGGGAGGCTCATATATATTTCTTCATCCAGAGTACTATGCAAAAAAGCATTAGATACATCCATTTGAGTCAGTTCCCAACCTTCTTTAGCTGCCAAACCTAACATCAACTTGACACTTGTGAGCTTAGCAACTGGTGAAAATGTTTCATTAAAATCCACCCCTTCTTGCTGAGTAAAACCCTTTGCAACTAATCGAGCCTTGTAGCGTTCTATAGTGCCATCAGAATTGTATTTTATCGTGAATACCCATTTACAACCAACTACATTCTTACCCGGAGGAAGAGATGTAATGCTCCATGTCTTGTTCTGTTCCATAGCCTGAAGTTCTTCAGTTAGAGCACCCTTCCATTTATCAGAAATTATGGCTTGTTTGAATGTTTTTGGTTCAGTTTCCATTGAATAGGATAAGATATAGGAACAATAATGGGGTTTGAAAAGATTATAGTCAATAACAGAGGATAATGGATAAGGAGTAGTATGATTTGGTGGTAATGGTGTAGAAATTTGTGCTAATGCACAATGATATTCAGATAAGTAACTAGGTGCCTTAGTATTTCTCTTTGGTCTTTCAGTATTTAAGGAAACGGTCTTAGTAGTTGGGATTACAGAATCATTTCCTATAGGTTTCCTAGTCTCCCTTTTAGATAGTGATGATGATGATGATGCTTTATGACTATCATTATGAGAATGAGAATGTAATGATGCATCAGGATTATCATGTGAAGTTAAATCTCGTGTAAAAGCCTCATTATCATATTCATCACTCAATGGAGATGCAGTATCATATATCTCAGTTAAAGATGCAGCAGGAACTGATTCATCATAATTTTCAGGTAATGATGCAGACGAAACAGTATTATCAGATTGTTCAGTTATAGATGCATCAGAAAATGGTATATATGGAACAGGATTAGGTAAAACTGTATGTGAAAAAAAATCAGGTTGATATTTCTCTGTATTATGAAAAGGAAACACATGTTCATGAAAAACAATATTGCGAGTAATAGAAATTGCATTTGAATTCAAATCAAGAACCTTATACCCTTTGTATCCAGAGGGATACCCTAAGAAGACACAAGGTTGTGCTCTTGGAGTAAACTTGTTACGATCTTTTTGTAGGGTACTTGCATAACACAGACAACCAAAACTCTTTAAAGATGCATAATCCGGTTTCTTCTTCATTAAACATTCATAAGGTGTGATATTATTCAGAATGATAGAAGGAATTCTATTTATTAAGAATGCAGCGGTAAGAACACAATCACTCCAGTAAACTAGAGGAATCTTAGATTGAAAAAGAAGTGAACGAGCAACATTCAATAAATGTTGGTGTTTTCTCTCAACAACAGAGTTTTGTTGTGGAGTATAAGCACATGAGAAGTAATGAATCATGCCATGTTCTCTTATCAAATCAGTGAATTTTAACTCAGGTGCATTATCACTTCTTATAGCTTTGATTTTAGTTTGATATTGAGTAAAAACTAGTTTGATGAAAGTTGCAAAAATCTGAGAAACTTCACTTTTATTCTTAAGCATGTAAATCCATGTTACTCTAGTACAATCATCTACTATAGTAAGAAAGTACTTATAGCCTTCTATAGATTCTACTGAAAATGGTCCCCATATATCCAAATGAATCAAGTCAAAAGGATTAGGAGACACATTGTTATTAAAAGGAAATGACAGACGCTTTTGTTTAGCTAAGGGACAAACAGGACAATGCTCATGACTCAATAAAGCGGACTTAGTAATGGAAAGTGTACCAGATAACAATTCTAACTTGGCATTTGAGGGATGGCCAAGGCGTTGATGCCAAAGACTTCCATCATCTGACAAGGATCCACAGAAATTGTTGACAGGAAAAGAAGCAGTTGGTGTGGTCAGGGATTGAAGATTGAGAAGATATAAATTGTGATGAAGTTTAGCACTCCCAATCATCCATCCCCGAGAACACTCCTGTAAGAAACATGATGTTGGATAAAAATGAGCTGAGCAGTTGTTATCATGCAACAAAGTACTTACACTTATCAGATTGAAACGAAAAGATGGAACATGTAAAACATTGTATAAGACTAAAGAATCAGACAAATGAATGGTGCCAGTATGCTGAATAGGGAGACTAGTTGGATGTTGGATGTTGCATCAAGAAAAGATGGACGAATTGAATTTGATCCCATGATTGAGAGATGATCAAAAGATGATAGAGATTGTTCCGAAAGATAAGATCAAAAGAGAATCGGAAACAATAAGGTCAAGAAAACGAAGAAGAAACTCAGATTTCACTCGCGAACATGAATTGAAGAATCGCGATGAAGAAGACGATGCAACAAGAAATTATAGAGATGAATGAGAAATCGATTCAATCGGAAATTAGCTCAAGATCGATCGGGATTTCTCTGATACCATATCAGGATTCTTCCACCATTGTTAACAAACCCAGAAGATGAGCTAAAAGACCGTTAGAAGAAGAAGAGAGAGAGAAGAAAGAATCTGATATTTCTCATTAAATGTTTAATGTGTACAAAGTATAGTATTTATAGTCCTAAGACTTTAGCTAAAATACACATTTTATCTAAGTGTAAAATACTCTTCATAACAGATATACATCCAAGTGTGTGGCGTGGCCACAGAGACATTAACAAAGATGACCCATCATGTAATTAAGTTTTTCGGATGACCACTTTCATCTTAAATATTTACAATTATTTCCTTGAACCTTAGTTTTTCTATTTATCAACTTTAGTTTATACGAGTCATCAAGCATCAGAAAATATTTGAGTCACTAATCAGACGACACAAGGTGTTTATTTGGACTTCTGACTTTGAAACTTAACTTCAACCAAATACTAGTCCACAATTTTTCAGAAATTAATGTATACTTTTTTACATTTTGTTTCATTTTTTATTCATACAAATTCTTAATGTAAAATCAAATTCTTGAATTCGTGGGAAGATTTTTAATAGTATGTGAAAATGGTGAGCCCAAAATAAGAAGAGAGAGTGATTTGAAAGATGACAAACAAATCATATCTCTAGGATTTTTTTTTAGCAGCATATCCTTACGAATTAGAGTATGAAAAATATGTATTTCGATTTCCAAATAGAGTAGTTTGCACATTTTTTCTTATTAACAACATACTTATAAAAAAATATAAAACATACATGAATTACACACAAATAAACTTTCAAACAATGATTAATTCACTAAACAAACCAACAAATACTACATTCACAAAGACCGATAAACACATAATAATGAAAAGACGAGAATTCATTCGATCTCTTCAGGTAAACTATATTGAATTGAAAGATGGTTTCATCACAAAGAATGAGAAACATATACAGTAGTAATGAAAAGACGAAAATTCTTTCGATCTTTTCAGGTAAACTATATTGTATTGAAAGATGGTCTGAAACGTGTCAGAGGCCCTTGCTGACGTCGAGTCTACAACATGCCGGAGGTTTTTGCCAACATCGACTCTGTTTCTTATTACCAAATAAAGCTCCAAGCAAAGTCTGTATATGTAAAGGTAGATGAATCAAAGAAATGATTACCATTTTTCGATTATATATATATATATGTAATGAATATATATAGTGAATCAAAGAAATATTTATATATATATATGTATATATATATTTATTTTAAACAAATAACAAGTACTATAGTTTTTAACCTTGTTAGTCTAAATATAATATATGTAGCCAAAAGATATGTGATATAAAAATAGTCTAAATATAAATATAATTGATGTGTCACCACTCACCACTTAAATTTAAATTCGTTATATTGCATATTGGTGATAGAAAAATAGAATATGCAATATCATCCAACCAAAACAAAATCGATTAGAACTACAATGAGTCAATATCATCAAAATGTATTCATCATTTCTAAGAATTATTATTTTCTGTGGTGAAATTTTAGTGCAATTTTTAAAATATATCGATTTTCATAATATGGTGAAATCAAAAATATTTATTAATTGATTAAGACGCTAAATTTTTATAAAAAAATAATGAGGCTGTTCGTTTCGTCACTACTGGTGGTGGCGATGGCGGCAGCTTCAACGATAGTAAAACAAACAACAATCTGTGACAAAGCTTGCTGATTCACCAACTCTCAAACTTATAATTATCTTCAATCACAATGATCCATGAAACTCGTAGTGCCTCTTTTGATTCCTTTTTGAAAGAAAAATGTATAAAATGTGTCTTAAATTTTTATAATAAAAGCAACAAATCCAACAAAACCTTACCCAATTAATATCATCACATCACAAGATCAACACAAAATCACCAAAATTCACAGCAAATTCAATTATATATGATTTCGGGTTTTCACCACAAATTTTTAAAAACCTTGTGGAACTTTAATGAGAGATCGTTTATCCAAATTGACAAACTACACTTAATCCAATTGAAAAAATATCATAACCGCTTCGATTTGAGCTAAGCTAGTACGAACATGAACATCAAGCAGATAACTTTAACAAAAACCCAGAAACATAAGATTAAAAGAGAAGAGAAGATTCAAGTGAAGAGAACCCAACTCGTAAATTATCAATCACAAAAACAAAGTCTGATTGGTACAAACCTGATGTCGCTGATGTTTAACCGATGAAAGATTTCAAGAGGAAGTGAAGCTGCTTAAGCCTTTGACGTTAGGAGCTTAATGAACAGAGGAAGCTAAATCAGGAACAAGCTCGAAATCACCGAACTTACTTCTCTATTCAGAGAGATCGAAATCGTATAAAAAGAGAAGAAGATAAACGATGAATTTGCCACATAGGGTTAGGTTTATTTGTGATTTTTAAAACATATTAAGAATATTTTTGTCATTTGTCACATATATCGCAATTATTTAATCGTTGACGCTGAATTTAAATGGCGTCCAAAATTTTTACCTATAGAACGTAACGTTTGCCGCAGCTACTTGCGTCAATCAAACGAATATGTTTATATGCGTCTGCTACTGCCGCAAGTATCTACGGTGACGAAACGAAAAAAAAAAAAAACAAAATTAACAAAACAAAAAAATCTCATAGTCATGTCTAGGCATGTCAATCGGGCTAGCCCGGCCCGGCCCGGCCCGAAGCCCGCAAAACCCGTATATATTTGAGCCCGGCCCGGCCCGTAAAAATTCCGAGCCTATATTTTAAAGCCCGGCCCGGTCCTAACAGGGCTACAGGGCTTTTCCGGGCTTTTTTGGGCTTTTCTTCCGACAACAAAAAACAAACTTATAATTTATAATATCTCTTAAAAAAGAATCTATATATGAAACGAGTCAATCAAAATTTAAATAACCACTAACGCTAATTTAGTTTTTAAAAAAGAGAGTTAAAATCAAATAAATAATCCAAATAAATTGTTTAAACTTATACTAGATAAAATATAAAATCAAAATAATTCAAATTAGGTAGTAGAGCTAATATTTGCTTTTTCGATTTATAGTAATATATAACAAAAAAACTATGTTTAGGGTTTTCAACTCTATCAAAAAAATTTTTTACAACAAATCTTACAATTAAACGAAAATATTAACAAAAAAAAGATCAAAATATTTTGTAAAGGGCTTTTCGGGCTAGCCCGAGCCCGGCCGGGCTAAGCCCAAAAAACCCTTTAGCCCGAACGGGCTTAGCCCGAAAGGCCCGATTTTTTCTGGACATATATTTTGAAGCCCGAGCCCGCTGTTTTTCAGGGCTGGGCCGGGCTAGCCCGCGGGCTTTGGCCCTAATTGACATGTCTAGTCATGTCATGTCATGTCAACAAAAAAGCAAAATTAACTAAAGTCAACAATCGTATGACTTGGGCTTTAAAGTTTATTGGGCTTTAATATACTATTGGGCTTAGAGGAGTAGTAAAGACACGAAGACGCTAACACTTGACTTCCAAAAATCAAAACTTTAGGGTTTCAGAGCAAGCTCTTTTTCTTCAAGCCGATAACGAAAACCCCTAAGCTCTCAATTCCGTTCTACAACCATGAGTCGTTCAGGTCAGCCTCCGGATCTCAAGAAGTAAGCCCTTGTTCTTGTTTCTCTGTTTCTGTTTCTGTTTCTGTTTCTATATCTTCGTGTTTCTGATTTAATGTTTGTGCCTAATCTGTTGTTTGTTTTGGTTTCGTTCGATGCAGGTACATGGATAAGAAGCTCCAAAGTAAGTTCAACATCTCCATCTTCGTTTATCTAATATCTAGTTGAGATTTGATTGCAACTTTATTCTGTGAATCAAACTGGGTCTTGTTTTACTGATTTTAGTTTTAGTTTCAAGAAACTCATGTTTCTTGAAGTAAATGTCTTGTGATTTTGTTTTGATTTTAGCAAAAGTATAGTTTGTTTATCACCTTGTTGTGGTTGAGATTGATGAATTGTATTTATGGTGCAGTCAAGCTTAATGCTAACCGAATGGTTACTGGAACTCTTCGTGGGTTTGATCAGTTTATGAATCTTGTTGTGGATAACACTGTTGAGGTGAGCGGTAATGACAAAACCGACATCGGTATGGTGGTAAGTCTCTCAATTTTATGTGCTTTTGTTATTAATCATCTGCTGCTCTTTACCGATTTAACTTTAGTTTTGGGTTGGGTGCAGGTGATTAGAGGAAACAGCATTGTCACTGTTGAAGCTCTTGAACCAGTGGGCAGATCTTCTTAGCTCGTTATATGCATCGGTAATGATCTTTTTTTTTGTACTAAGCACTAGCTATGAGAAATCTTGGTGGTAGCTTCACAGTTACAATGAACTGATTCAGTAAGAAGTCTACATGAATACTCTTTTCTTGTACTAAAAAGATTGCAAATGAATCCCACCGATGTGATGGCTTGTACTTTTACTCTGGATACAATGCTTAAACCTCTAATAGTCATCTTCTTAGCTTGTTATATGCATCAATAGTCACCTTCTCATTTTTGGTACTAAGAACTAGTTTTGAGGAAACTTGGTGGTAGATTTGCAGTTATTATAAACTGCATCAGTAAGAAGTATACATGAATACTATACTATTTCTTGTACTCAAAGATTGCGGTAAATACCACCAATGTCCTTGTGCTTTTACTCTGGATCGACTACTTTGATTTCAAAGCTTCATCTTCTTCTGTCAAGGGTTGTAACCTTTTGATAAACCAATTTACACTTAGCTCAAACAATGCTTAGTTGCTATTTTTTCACCCATATTTTTGTAATGAATGAGGTTTTAAAGAAGACAAATTTGCAGACAATGTAAACATCATCAAGTCTTTACATGTTTAGTTCATTGCCGAGCTGCTCCAATTTATGCAGAGACTATCCAATAGTGTTCTCTGACTGTTTCCTTTTACACTTCAGTACTGATCAACTATTGCCGTAGCTTCAATAGCTCTTCAAAAACAATGTCTTTATGAAACTTGAAAATGGGATTTTATCAAGCACATACTCAAATTTTACAATCTTTCCCATAGCCAAAAGCAAAGCCCAAAAGCCAAACACGATTACAAAACCAAGAAAAGCCATTGTTTGTGCATTCCACTTCAATATCATTTGCTTGCAGAGATCTAGCATGAGGTCACACTTCTTAGTTTTGGCAACGAAACTAAACAATCTACTAAGAACCAATCTTGTAACATATGAAGGCAAAGCTCAATTGGGCCTACTGATGTCAAATTACATTAATGGGCCGAGGCCCATATACATCAAATTTCATCGGAAGCGAAACGTTGATCGTCGATTCGTCGTTCTTCTCGATAACCTCTGCTTCGCCGGAAAAAACAAAACAGGCAACGACTTTTGAGAGCTAAAATCGGAGATTAAGAATGGCGAATCAAGGAGCTAAGAAACGAAAGGAAGAGAACGCACGACACATGGCTAAGCTCCGTCGTCTCATCATCGCTTCCAATGTACTTCTTCTTCCATCGACGCGTTTCCCAGATCTCTTTGATTCTTCATGAATTAGATCTTACTTCCATGAAATTGAATATTGGATTTGGTGATTTATGGTCACAGGTTGTGTACTTCGTTGTGAGGATGTTGATTTTCTACTCAAGCTTTACTTGGAAACATTGGATCGGCTTAGTGATAACTTCGCTGGCTTACGCGTTTCCATATAAGCAGCTTAATCAAATGGCTAAACCTAGTGTTACTGATGATGGTGAGCTTATTGATGGTGGATTTGACATGACCACTGGTGGAATCTGTGGGTATGTTTTTGAAATCTTGTTTTGAATGATCAACAAGAACCAAAAGCTAGCTTCATCAACAAGAACCAAAAGCTAGCTTCTCTATCTTTGATTCGCATACTATGATGTTTGATTGTCTATTTTGATGATCTTTGCAGATACTTGCATGACGTTATCTATATCACTTGCTTTGTTCAGCTAGCTTCTATCATCTCTGGGAAGTTTTGGTACACGTATCTAGTGGTACGATCTTCGCTTTTGCTTATTGATAACTCCACATTGATGTAGAGTTTGATTGGAGTGATGCAAACTTTTGTTTGATTTTTAGATTCCTGCGTTTGGAGCGTATAAAGCTTCTGGTCTTATTCGCGGATTCATGTCACAAGGTTCAGAGGTAAATCTCATTTAGTTTTTAAGTACTATTAGCTTCTTTAAACAAGGCAAAAAGCTTTACTATGTCTCTGTGTCTTGAATTATAGGGAGGTGTGGAAGATGAAAAGTCTCGTAAAAAGAGAGAGAAGATGGAGAGGAAAGCTTCGAGAGGGCAAGTCGTCAAGACAAGGACAAGATGAATGTGTTGTTATAGAATGAACTTGGGGATGAGTATGTTCTTCAAAATATACAAATTAATTCAAAAGGTAAACTCTCTAAGCTTTGTGAGTCTCTATTACATGGACATGTCTGCGTGTACAATATTTACTTTGATGGGGAATAGTCATCGAGTAGAACACAGTCGATTCTCTGGAGATAGATGTTTCTTTCGTTGAGGTCGTAAGCAATATTGTAGTACTGTTGAGCCATTAGCCCAATAGCTGTGAAATCCTTATATTCCCCTCCATGTTCTGTGGTTGGCCTCACCGACATACAAAAGACGTTATGATACGCATCCGATTCTGACATTTGATAAAACATGCTTGTGGCCTCCATAGCCAGCTCAGCTCCGCCTGCAAAATGAAATGTCACCACAGGGAAGCCTATGAGCTCTTCGTTCACTCTCCCATGGTAGCACAAGAAGTCTCTAAACCAGAATCTCTCTAATTTTGGATCCAGAATGGATTTTATTTCATTGTAGAGTTCTCTGTAGGCTATATCTGCTAGCCAAGTGTAGAGTGTGCCCGTGTCGAGTATGACCCCTGTTCTTGATCCTCTTCTTTTGAATACCACTGGTTCGATATTGAGTTGTCTATCCCCAACACTAATCCCTTCAAGATTCATATAGTAGATACCATTCTCTGTCTCAAATTCAATGGGTGTTGGATCCCCTAAAATATCCGCATCCTCACCCAGAACCAGCTGATTGTAACCATAGTTTTTGTTAGCTAAATCACCGATGCAGTAAGAGAATTTAGACCCAAGCTGTACAGCAAGTGATGTGGGTTTGGCTCCTAAACCCAAAATACCAGTGAACTCACTGTCCAATTGCTCTCCATTCTCATAGCCACACCCAAAGGCAATAGGTTGGGTCACAACAGTGTTTCCGTTATGTGTTGTGAAGGTCAACCGTTCTTTAGCTAGAACGCCTTTTGAGCCAGTGCCGCTTATATACACCTGTTCATAAACGCACTTGTTTGATGAGCAATGTCCGTTTGGTGCATACCTGCAAAAACGATCATCGCAGGAACACTCTACAAATGTTGAAGACAATGCTGGATTGAAGACAGGATGGATCACATGATTTGATGAGCAGTGTTTGCAGGGATGACATTGGATCCATAAAAGTGAGCTTCCAGTATCCATGATAGTGAACTGCGGTACCGGAGGCTGTCCTACCGAGAAATTCACAAAAAACAATGATGTCTTCATTGCTTGATGCACATCAACTTGGAATTCACTACTGCCTAGCTCTTTCTCAATCGAATTCTGTAGATACTTAAACCTGGCTGATGAAACATCGGTCATGTGTTGGATATGGTCTTCTGGAGTGACCGGAACTCGAGCATTTGGGTTGTGACGGACCACTGATTCACGGCGTATCAACTTCATCGCCATTCGATTAGGTCTAATGGATTCTGTTACTACGAAGTATGACACAATGATGAAGAGTAAGAGTGATGTTTGGAAAAAACATTCCATGGTGGTTTAAACAGTACAGAGACACGGACTACGGAAATTGCAGAGACCATTTTGTAACACAAATGAAGATTAAGATAGTGTAATAGCATCAAGACTGTGATATGGAAGAAGAATATAAAAGATCAAAACACAACGAATTGATGACAACAAATAATATCCAAGAACAACCAAAGATCATGAGACTATAAATAGCAAAAGTTTGTTGGCTTTTATATATATAAAAGCTAGCATGTACTTCACATCTTTTGTAGTTTTGTGTAATGTTTTTAAAAGAAAAAAATTAAATAAAAACAATTAGAAGTACAAGTCAACATATCATTAAATTGTTGGTCAGTAAAAATTTGATAATAACACATGAAGGTCAAAGTTCGACAAAAAAATTGCTTTCACAGGACAACAAGTGTTTTTATAAAAAAATCTCTTATGAGTTTGAGAGAGAGACCAAAACAAACACATTTCAAAAAAACTTTAATATATACATCCAAAATATTAAACATTAGACCCAGAATCTAAATTTTTTCAAAGGATTGATCACCATTTACATGTCTATATCATCTCAAAAAATTTAAAGTCATGGGGGATATTATATCTTTCTTTCTCTCTTTGTCCAAATTTTACTACCTTGGACCAGATAGTTCCATGGCGAATGAATCTAAGGCTTGATTCTCATCTTCATCTTCAAATCCTGAGGAACCAAACAAATGTTTGGTTTGGTTGTTGCCATTAGCATCAGTAGAGATAATAGTCCTGTAAGACATGTTGGCATGGTAGAAATGTGAATGATCATGTGAAGCAGCCCATCTTTCTGCTAATCCATCTCCTTCAAGCATCTGAACCACTTCAGACATTTTCGGTCTGTGAGCCGGAAGAAACTGAGTGCAGAGTAAAGCCACTTGTAGCATCTCCCCAACTTCTATTCTATCGTAGGTTGTCCCGAGTTCCCGGTCTACAAGCTCCTCTACTTTCATTTCCTTGTGTAGCTTCCTCACCTGCAAACACCCAAAAGAGTTTTAACACTATCTTTTGATTATATGTTTGGTCTAAATTTGTAGTAATTGCTTACCCATTCAAGCATGGCTCCTTTCTGGCTAACAGATTTGCCAAACTCGAGAGCTCTCATTCCTGTGATGAGCTCTAGCAAGAGTATACCAAACCCAAAGACATCAGTTTTCTCAGATGACTGACCGGTGGAGAGATACTCGGGTGCAATGTGACCAACAGTTCCTCTAACCGCGGTTGTTACATGTGAATCCTCGTGGTTGAGTAGCTTTGCGAGTCCAAAATCTCCAACAACAGCTTCAAAATACTCATCTAGGAGAATGTTTGCTGCCTTGACATCTCGGTGAATAATCTTGGGATCGCATTGCTCGTGTAGATAAAACAAACCTCTTGCAGCTCCTATCGCTATCTTCTTCCTCGTGTTCCAGTCCAATGCTGGTTTAGCTGCAACATTGTTAAAAATCAGTTGAAGTGATTTCAAACTTGTGACCAAAATCAGTTTACCAAAACCCAGTTTTGTGAATACCTTTAAGCCTAGAGGCGACGCTGCCATTGGACATATAAGGGTAGACAAGAAGCCTTTCGCTAGAATTCGCACAATAACCAATTAACCGAAGCAAATTCCTATGAACAGCTAAGCTGATCATCTCAAGCTCAGTACGAAATTGTGAATTCCCAGAGGTTCCATTCACATCTTTTAGTCGTTTCACTGCAACCATTGTCCCATCCACGAGCTTTCCTCTGTAGACATTACCAAACCCACCAGCACCAAGAATGCTCTTGTAACTAAAACCATCCGTAGCTACATGAAGTTCTCTGAATGTGAAGCTTCTTAGATTTCCCAATCCTAGTAACCCTTCCTCTTGCTTGTCTGCATAGATTACCAAAAGAAATTTTTTTAATTTAGACAACGAACAAAATCAAATTACATAAAACCACAAGCTTGCTCAAGTTGACTAACCACTTATGCGTAGCATCGTTAGCCTTCTTTGTTTCCTTCGATACCAAATTAACCCGAGAGAGAGGATTACACTAACAGCAAAGCCAAGGCTTACACCAAGTGCAACCGCCAATATATTTGTTCTACGTCCTACACACATCCCAAATGGTAGTAAACTCGTAAGAAACGGATAAAATCGAAGGAAAAAGCGAGCAAGATTATTGAAATTCAATGATGTATTTACCTGATGAAGAACGTAAAGAGACAGAAAGAGGACTTGCATTGATTGATCCTGAACAAATCTCAGGTGGGCTGTTTTTACAAATCAAAGGATTCCCAGCAACACTACATTCAACAGTGACAACAATTAGGAAAAACTCAACCTTTAACAAGAATGTTGAAAAATGCTTAAAACCAAAAGAAAAAAGTTTTCTTACTTGAATGTCCTTGCAGGGAATTTAGAAACAGGACCTCTGAGATTGTTATAAGACAAGTCTCTGAAACCAAACATCAAGAAACATAAGTCTTGAAGTTAAAAAGTAAAAATAAAAACTTTAAATCTGTAAATACACTCACAAGAAAGAGAGGTGAGGGATTTGAGACAGAGAAGCAGGAAAGGGCCCAGATAATGAGTTGTTGTTCAACCTCCTAATCAAATCATTACACAAACGTACGAGGTTTAAGTTAAGCAGACGAATCTTTTGCTTGATTAAAACTCTGAAACAGAGAGAGAGACTTACAGATATTCGAGATTACTCAGCTGGTTAACCGAACCGGGGATTTCACCGGAGAACCGGTTATTGGATAAATCCAAAGTCTGTAATTTAGGAAGAGAACAAAGCTCCGGTGGGATTTTACCGGAGATGTCATTGTTCTGTAATAACCTTCAAAAATTCCAAAAAAAAACAAAGGTTGAAGAAACAAACAAAAGGAGACATTTTTTTTATGAAGAAACAAACAAAATAATCTTACACTTGTTGAAGATTAGTGAGATTTCCAATAGACCCAGATAAAGTTCCTGAAAGAGACTGACTTGGAGCTCCACTGCAAATTGTAGAGACAGAGAGAGACAAAGATGAAGAATTTGTCGCTCATTAATGTCTGTCCATGAAAATCATAATCAAAGAACACTTACAAGCCAGTTACGAGGTTGTCTGGAGAACAAGTGATCATAGTCCAACTACAAGGATCAACAGAGAATTCATCCCAGTTGTTCAAAACACCATGTGGATCATGTAAATCGTTCTTTATGTTTATCAACGCCTCCACTGTGTAAACATCATCAAAATGGATGATTAGGTACATAAAGTTTGAAACTTTCGAATACCCAAATGGAAAAAAATGAGTCTTACCTTCAGGGTTTCTGGGCTCAGAAGAGAGAGAACAAGTAACGAAGAAACAGAGTAGTAACAAGAAAGAGAAGAGAAAAAAAGGATTTTTCTTCATCGTTATTAACTTCATCACCACCATGAAAAAGCTTTAGTTTTAGTTTACCACAAGGAAGAACACAAAATCATTACTTTGTTCATGTTTTGTTGTGCCCACAAAAAGAGAGAAACAGAAAAGCAAAAGCAAAGCAACAAAGAAAGAAGAAAGAAAAATGCTTTTTTCTTCTTTTTCTTGGGTCTATTAAGAACTCTTTTCTTTCTGCAATGGCTCTCGCACGAAGAGAATTATGAGTGTGAAATGTTGTGAATTTAAGGAGATGATAATGAAAACAGAGAGAAGAGAAAGAGAGAGAGAGTGTATAGGTAGTGTTGTGGTTTGTGGGGAGGGAGAATCAGGTGGGAAAGCTGATACGGACCCGTATGGTGGATGATGATACTTTCTCTTTTTTTTTAGTTTTTTTTTTTTTTGTATAGGCTAAATTTGTGAAAGTTTGTTCTATACATAACGGAAACAAAATAAAAAATAAATGAATTAGTTCTTATATTCAAAATACAAAAGTCCTTATAGTTATTTTTTTGTTTGGGTTTTGTATAAATTAGTGAGAAGTGTCGCAATCGAAATTCTTTTTTATATTCTGGAAAAAAAGAAGAAGTTTAAAACAGAGCATATTCTTTTTGTTTATAATATTTTCAGAATTTTCAAAATTATTTTCTAAAGGAAATTTAAAGAATTCTGAAAAGTATATTATCACCACAATTCTGAAAATTTCCTTAGTCTTATTATCACCCACAATTATGAAAATTTCTTACACAAAATTACTCACTAACAAAAATATTATTGTCATCACAATAACAAAAATTACAAGATAAGTTTACAGTTTGAATAATTATATATATTGTCTCGAGTAAAACAGTAAAAATAAAAATTAAAAAATGCATAGATTTGACGTGTGTAGTGTACTAGTAGTATCACCACTTGTAACCAGTGGCAGTGGGTACGACTACGAGACTGATCTATGCTAACGTGCACCTCTTCTCTCTTCTTTGTCTTTTTTCTTATTTCTGTTCAGTATTTTTTCATTGTAATCTCGTGATAGAAAATATTACTTCCAGAGGTTAAAAAGTAAAAACGTTTGTGCCCTCTAATTCGATAATGATACTTCTTTTTTAGAAACTATATATTATATAAGAACATATGAAATGAGATAGGAAGAGAAAATAGTAAGAAAAAAAGGCTGGAATACGGAAAGAGGTTTGCTTTTGCCTTGCCTGATGTGGTGTGATTTGTGATGTTACATTTTTTCTGACAAGTCCCTCTACTTTTGTTTTCTTTCCTTTTTCGTCTATTTAGTTTTCTTCCTTATCACTATGGCCCTTTCTTTTCCGGAGTAACTAATTCACTATTACAATTTTTCATAATTACATAGTAATTACTTTTTTCTTATTCTATGATTCCAGTCATCTTCTCTTGTCACACTGACTTTATACTTTTTCTAAAGTTAGGCTTTGATGAATTGCTCTTATGATGATGAATCTCAAACTCATAGTGAAGAAACAATTTTTTTTTTATTCCTTTTAGAATTTCTATTTTTATTTTGTGTAGAGAGATCATTATATTTCACATTTATGTTTTTATAAATATTTTAACTGACAAAAATACAACTTTCATAAAAAAAATTACTTTCGTATTCAATATAGAATTTATCCAGTTATAAGAAAAACCTTAACTATATTACAGGTAAAATGTAATTACCATCAACTTTATTTACGTGAAAAACATTCACTTAATTAGATGAATATAACATAATGTTCGTAACCTAAACTTTTTGGAAAACCGAATCAAACTGCTCAAATAAACGTTCTAAATGCCTCCAAAATATTTTTAAAACTTTTCATAATTGATTATATTCTACATAGACTAATGTTATGTATATGTACTCGTGGTTGATTGTATATGTAGTTGTAATTTTAATCAACCATTATAGATCTTGAAAACATCTTAATTCATGACTTAGCATTGATATCATATTTTGTTTTTAACTTACCAAAAAAAATATATTTTGTTTTTAAGTCACAACCTACTTGAACATTAAATAATTGTAGAAGAAAGACATATTCGGTTGTTTACTGGTTACCATCTGTGTCGTCCTCATCATCATCAATCTTATGTACGATGACACAAGTTGGATTGAAAATTCTTGGAGTTGAATATGCATTTCTCGGATCCAAGTTCATTATTGTTTCATGCGTTACTGAACTTCCCCACTTTTTAGAAAATGAATTTTTGTTGAAGTTCTAGTGAAAAGAAAAACTCATCACCTAGATCAATATATGAAGAACTACAAAATTGAGAAAAATGATAATTTGGAAACAATTCATGTTGCATATATCTAGGGGTGTCAAAATGGTTTAAAATTGATGGATCAATCCAAACCAATCCAACTCATGGATCTAATGAGTTGAAAATTTGGATATTAATGGATTAATGGATTAAATGGTTTAATGAGTTTAATGAGTTGGATTGAAATGGTTTGGTTTAAAATGGATTACTGGGTTATCCATAACCAAACCAATAAAAATTATATAATTGAAATCAAATATGTAAACCAAATATAACCGAATTGAATCACTAAACCGATTTTAGTAAACCGAAATAAACATAATTTTCTTAAATCGCTTAACCATCGATCTTTCTCGGCGTCAAATCTCTCACTGTCGATCCCTCTCAATCTTATGGTTTCACCGGCAAATCCATCGACAACGTTAAACGACGAAGCCAACAACGCCGTTCACCGGCAAAGCCACTGACACTCGGATCCCTCATCGTCACTCATGGAGTCCTTGGTCGTCGTTTTGTGATCAATTTATGAACCAATTCATAGTTATAAGTATTTCGACGACGACGACGACGACGACGACGACGGCGGCGACGACGATGACGACGGCGGCGGCGACGACAACGACGACGGCGACGACGACGACGACGACGATGATGACGACGACGACGACGACGGCGGCGGCGACGACGACGGTGATGGTGATGATGATGGTGGTGGTGAATTGATGACGATGGAGTGATGAAGATGATGATGGAGTGATGATGATGATGGTGGTGGTAACATGATAGTTACTAATTATCAATTAATTAGGATTTAAATTATAAGAAAACTATGTTATGGATCAACTCATTAAATCCATTAATCCACTCATTTAAATGAGTTATGGGTTAATCCAAACCATTTGCTAAATGAATTGGATTGATTCATTAACCATTAAACACTAAATCAATATGGATATGGGTTGGTTTGGTTTGGTTTAACCAACTTGACACCCCTACATATATCCTATGTTTATTAGAAATTTCTTAAATACTTTTACCTTGATGAATAGTTTGTGACATACTAGGTGAGGAAAACTCTCACTACTGAATCAATTATTGATCATTTTAAAGGTGATGAAGTTCTATTGTCTGTTGTAATAAGCTCGCTTTTTAAACTATTTTTTTTTTATACAAAAATGATGTACATTTTAAAAATCAAGATACATAGCAATAACGTAGTTAAAGCAATAAATATACCTTAGACCAGACGCATTCGCGCAATGAACGAGTTTGCATTTTCATGGAATACGTTCTTCTACCTCTTTCCACCATTTACGTTTTTCTCACCTGATCCTTCAACACTGTCAATGTCTACTATTAGTTTTTTTCATATATATTATTAACGTAAAGATTGCAAATGAGTAAAAGAGAAAACTTAACTAACAATGATATTCTAGTGATTGAAAATTTACGTTATGCCGAGGGATCATTTTACACTCATGTTTTTGTAAATATTTTAACTGGCAAACTTACAACTTGCATAATAGATTATTATGAAATTCAACTTAAGGTTTATCCGGTTATATATAAAACATGAACTATATTACAAGTAACTTGCAATTAACATCAACTTTATTTATGTTAAAAAAAAATTACTTAATTAGATAAATATAACCCGATTTTAGTAAACTATAAGTTTAGGGAAAACCGAATCAAATTGTTCAAGTAGACGTTTTAAATACCTCCAAAATATAAATCACAATTTTTCTAATTGATAAAAATCTACATAGCCTTATGTACATGTATTTTTGATTTTAATCAACCATAATAGATCTTAAAAACATCTTAATTCATAACTTAGCATTGAAATTTGATTTTGATTATAAGCCACAACATATACTACTAAAACTTTAAATAGTTGTAGGAGACGAGAAAAAATATATTCAACTATTTTCTGATCACCATTAGTGTCGTCCTCAACATCATCAATCTCATGTATGATGACGCAAATTGGATTGTGAATTCTTGAAGTTGAAACTTCATTTCTCGGATGCAAGTTCATTACTGTTTTATGAGTTACTAACTTCCTCATTCTTCATGACATTGAAGTTCCAATCGACTGGAAACTCAGCAAGATCCATATATGCAAAACTACAATAGTGAAGAAGTTGATAGTATAGAATCCATAAATATTGCATATATTCTTTGTTTATCAAAACTTTCTGAAATACATTTACCTTGATGAATGGTTTGTGACATTCTAGGTGAGGAAAAATCCCACTACTAAATCAATTAAAGATCATTTTCAAGGTGACAAAATTCTATTGTCTGTTGTAATAAGCTCGCTTTTAGACCATTTTTCTTTCGATACAAAAATGATATAATATTTAAAACTCAAGCCACAAAGTAATGATGCAGTTAAAACAGTAAATAATATCTTAGACAATACGCATTCGCGCAATAAACGAGTTTGCATGTTCATGGAACACGCTCTTCTATCTCTTTCCATCATTTACGTTTTTCTTCATCCGGTCCATTAACATAGTCACTGTCGATACTCAACATTAAGAGTTTCCACACTCGTCTCGTTTCATGATCCAATTGTTCTTTCGGTTTTTGTTTTTTGATATACTTCACCAATGCATGTTACTCTTCATATGCCTCTTGTGTAGAAAAAGTGCAGTTTTTCTATTATATGGAAGACAATGACCCTTTTTGTTGATGTCTAGTTCTTCAAACAACTTAGTGATGACATCAATTGTCAAACTTCTTTCTCAACTTAGACAATGATCCTTTCTGTTGATGTCTAGTTCTTCAAACAAGTTAAAGATGGCATCAATTGTCAAACTTCTTTCACATATTTTTAGCTAACGATGTACCTATATTTTATAAGAGTAGTATTGATTCGAAAGTTAGAAATCTATGAAATATTAGAGATAAAAGTGAATTTGCATGTTTTGCTTATGTGTTATCAAACCTATTGGATTTTGGCGTCGCCACTTAAGACTAGTACCCTTGCATTGATTTGGCTTGCAATAGGGTCTCTTTGACTCTGCTTCTTTCTAGACACCGTTAATTGCATCTTGGAAACAATGGTTTTAAGCTGCAAAAATCTCCGAAGAACCTTATATCCTTCTATCACATTTGATTGGTACAATCCTTTGTAATAGTTTCTTCTGAAAGTTCCGCGGTCGGGTAACTATATCAGATCTATGTCTTTCTAAGCATCGAGAAATGTGTGAATCACTAGGAATATCTTCTGATTATATGGAAGTTGTTGATCTTGTATTGCCAAGAGACATCATAAAACTTAGACAATTATTGTTTTGTTCAGAAGATGGATTGATTCTTTCTTCTCTCGTAATGGCATTGGATTTCTTTGCCATCTTTTTCCCTTTGGGATGTTACCAAATATCCCTAGTGTTGTATCCGTTAGTTTTTCCTCACCTGAAGAAACCTCTATGTGACCTACTAAAAAGAAATCCAGTGCACAATATTTCTAATCTTCTTCTTAGAGGTCAAAGTCAAATCGTAATGATCTTCTACCTGATCTTTTTGGCAGAATATATCATGAGTGAAGAACAAATTATTATTTTAGGTAAGATTCGTCATTTAAATGATTAACGGTAAGATTGAAAACGAGTGAAAGAGAAAACTTAACTAACAATATCATTCTAGTGATTAAAATTTTATTTTGTGTTGAAGGATCATTTCACACTCATGTTTATGTAAATATTTTAACTGACAAACTTACAACTTTTTTTTTTTTTTTTGAATAAATTAGAACTCCAATAAAATAAATTAACTAATCGTTTCACTTGCTATTACAATTGACGAAAACTACTAATAACCAGAAATTTATAACATAAGCCATAAAATATAAGCATAAATAAAGCAAAATAAAACACAGACTGTAACATAAGGTAAAAATATTACAAATCGTCAAGCTAAGAAAGTTCCATCTGGTAAAAGGGGAGCAGCTCCCATCCTCATCTGATTCCAATACCACTTATAATAACAGTGTCGACCCACCGTAGAGAGTGTACGAGTGTCACACGCCAATAGCATAACAAACCCACTTTGGTACAACTCTGTGATGGTCGCCTCAAATGCGGGGTCGGATGTAATCACCAAAACATTGAAAGGCGGGTCGTCGTGAATTGTGTGAAAGTTCAGGTCTTGTTTGAGACAATGGGAGGCTAAGAGATCTTTAGGTGGTTTTCCATCTTTGCAGGCTTGGTCTCTACAGTAAGGATCTCTCTTAGGCATATGTGCAACAATGAGATCAAAATTGTGATTCCCTTTCTGAAAGATACTCGTGTCTTCTTGAAAAGCACTAAAATCAACGTAAATGGTGACCATTCGAATAAAATACCTCGGATTTGCTTGTTTGAGGGAAGCGGTAATTTTATCAAATATGGAAGAAGCTTCATTTCTATAAGCTATAGGTGCTGTATCAAATTCCCAGAAAACTCTAATGCCAAAATGCATGTCTTCTTGGCTGGTGTACCTTTTGGCATAATTAGGATCATCAGGGTCCATATCACCAACTCGACGTCGTGGTCACCTTAAGGATAATAAAATCTGGAGAAATGCGAGTGGCTGGCACGAGTAAGACGCGAGTACTTTTTATGAGAGAGCGTTGAGGAGAAGAAATGTGAAATACAAACTTACAACTTTCGTAAATAAATAGTACAAAATTCAACTTAAGATTTATCCATTTGTAAGAAAAGACATAAACTATATTACAAGTGACATGTAATTACCATCAACTTTATTTATGTGAAAAATATTTACTTAATTAGATTAATATAACACAATGTGTCTTTAGTCAAGTGGTTAAGTCCATTCGACTCCACCTTTTCTACCGGAGTTCGACTCCACCTTTTCCACCGGAGTTCGACTCCACTAAGTCGCGTTATCCCGCGTAGTAAAGATTGGCTATGGATCGAAGTCTTGTCGATCTAAAGATGTAAAAGAAAAAGATTAATATAACACGATTTTAGACTTATAAAGATACACATAGACTATGTGTATGTGTATAATAGATCTTGAAAATATCTTAGTTCATGACTTAGAGCATCTTCAACTCACCTCTATATTTGCCTCTAAACTCTATTTTAGAGGCAAATCTACTCCAACACACCTCTATTCTCACCTTTAAAATAGAGATCTCTATTTTTTTCTCTATATATAAAGGATCATATAGAGAATCTCTATTTTTTCCCCTATAAATAGAGTTAAAATTTTTAGAGAAAAAATAGAGGAACACATTGGAATAAAAATAGAGAAAATTCACCTCTATTATAGAGATAGAACTAAAAATAGGAAAATACATTGGAGATGGTCTTAGCATTGATTTCTGATTTTGATCCAGTTTCAAAACGGATTAATTAGTTCATTTAGTTTGTACAACCATCAATCTAAATACTAACACACTATATTTAAAAGGAAAAAAATGTAAAATGGATGATAATATGAATTTTCCGGTTGTAATAAAAAACAAATAATCATCATAAATATTTTCTACAACGAAATGAAACTTTAGATTCTTAACTAATTTGTTTTTCAACTGAGTTGTTTATCACATTTGCCACAATAGAGATTGTTTACTGTACTTGTTTTTGATATGTATCTAGTAGGAGTATATGTTTTTTCACGTATTTTAAATGGATATTCCGACCAAATGTTTTAAAAATATAGTTTGATTTTAGCAAGCTACAAAAGGAAACTAAAATTGAACTACAGTGGTTGGACCAAATGCCGATTTGAGGATATCAAAAAAACGTCAGCAGAGAGATGATATGCAACCAATCTCCCTATTTTCCTTCTCATGCAGTTTCAGTGATCATTACGCAATGCTTCTTTGTCTTTTTCTCCTATATATTTCCAAAATATTTATGAGTAAAAAAACAATAAGAACTTGGTACAAATATACGAAACTTATTACCTAATTCACCTAATTCACATATAATCATTGTTCTTCATTAGTAAAAACAAATAATTGTTTCGGATCTAGGTCCAAAACCTCTTAGTAATTAAAAAGTAAAAAACAAATAATAACTTTATTTTGGAGTTGGATTTTTTCTCTAACACTATTCTATTTCTAACTCAAGAAATAAAGATATCTAAGTTTTGGTATAAAATGAAAGTAGAGCATTCCAAATATAGAGTAATAATTAGAGATCTCTATTTTATAGATCTCTATTTTAGAGATAATATGATTTTAGTCCAAAATAGAGTTTAGAGATAATAAATATGGAATACGGTAGAAGATAGTCTTATTGTTTTGATTAGAAAAAATAAACCTATACTTAAATCAATCCATATTGATTAATACTTAATAGTTAAAAAATTTCCATGACTTATTTATATCAAAATTTAAGTATTTCTACTGTGATTTTAAAATATCATTGGTCACTTTTATTTTTTTAATAATTGGAAATTTGTATGAAAATTAGTTCCAGATTTTTCTGTCTTACAGTAATCTATGATCAAATAGCTGTTATATAAAGAAAGTTCTTGATTTAATTTTTCACCATTATTTTTAAATTTTAATTAAAAATTACCAGAAAATGTTATCAATTATCCTCAATCAAAACCTATCTTAGTATAGTTAATACATCAGATTCTAATGCTATCATTACAACCACTAGGATAAAAACCCGCGCTCCGCTGCGGGATATCTTTTATAAATTATTTTTGTTACTAATGACTTTTGCTTAAACTAAGATTATGTAGTACAAATTTCACAATGAAATTTGTATTTTTTGGTTTAGACAATGAAAGTTGTCTTCCTTCTTTTGTAATACAAACAAAAAGAGTATCCAAACTTGAATTTAAACAATACACAAATACGAAACTTGAATTTAATATAAATATGATTTGTAAAACTTAAATAAAATTTTAGAATTTGATGGTTGACAGATCATTTTCACCACTTCATCTCATTTAAAAACTTTATTTTGAATTTCAAATCAAATAAAACAAATTAATACACAGATATGAGAAGGTGACCGTGACACATTACTTAAGAAATCAATGCACAAAATTCTTCTTCTCTTCGTCTACCGGCCTTGGATTCATTAACTTCAACATCTTTAGAAAATTGCTCCACATTCATCTTTAATCAACATTAACTAAATTGACCAAACGAACAATAGTGTATATATATGTACGGAAGAAGTGTATAAGCAGAGGTAGATGAGAAATTCCGACAAGTTTTCGGTAGATCCCATGGTACTTGCACAATCTCTCCTTCATTCTTTAGATAGATACAAATACAATTGTGGATGTATTAATATTATACAATTGTCCAACCATCTCAAGAGATTCAATATGCATTACACGCTTGATACTTGATTGATTTAACTATTCCTAAGACCAATAGAATATATTACGTAAAGATCATCTATGGTCTCACAAGTCACAATACATGCATTCAAACTTTGGGGTGGACAACAATAGTTCCAGACCTAAATTATGACATTTAGGCAAAGTGAAATACACGTGAAACCTGAAGTGTAAGTAAATAAAACATTAATAATTCTAGAATCATTAATCTATATCTCTGTCCACATGAAATATTTTAACAACCATATTTTCCATTAAACGACTGCAAACACTAATAAAGTATAGGTAGCACTCCAATATATAAAGTACGCAACTGTTATTTGCTAATTAAATGATTGATTTCGAGCAATTGTGTACTTTTGAAGTCTTCTTTACACGAGTCTCAACAATAAGTACTACCAATTCAAAACTTCCATAACTAAAATAAGTTGTATAAACCTACCATAACTCCCTGTCGATGAAATGCCTACAACACTACCAACAATGACAAGGAAAGAAAGATCTAGATGGTAATGAAAGCAAAAAACAATGTTGGGGAAGGACACTATTTTTTTTTTGGTAAAAAGGAAGGACACTATTTGAATCATGTTTGGAAAACAAGATGGTACTCCCAGTACTCTTTAAATCTTAATCAATAACAAATTTTGTAGGTGATTTTTCTGGTAGTTTACGGTGGTTATTAGAGCTCCTTCCGATGGCAAATCGATTCGACAACAAACCTTGTCGGCGAAGGCAAAACAAAAAAATAATCTTCGTCTCTCCACGTTTTCAAAGCAAACAGCGAAGGCACTTTCTTTAAAGAGGTAAACGGCGAGCACCGGCGGTTGGGGTAGGAGTAGCGGCTGAAGGAGTGGAGGAAGAGTGGTGCTGAGAGTGACGAGGAGATAAAGGATGGTGGATCTTGATGTTAGGGAGATGAGGATAATCAGATTATGGATTCATGATCTCTTTTTCTTCTTCTTCTCTGCTTGATTCAACAGATTTATAGAAACTTTTATTTTTTTTCCGATCGAGAGGAAGATGATGACGAAGAAGAAGAGACAGTCGTGTTTTGTCAATTTTAATTAGTCTCTCCATGTTTTCAACACTACTTTATCAAGTGGGCTTATACTTTTGGGCTTTGTTATTTTTTTTTGTTTTTGTGTGTTTTTAATAATATGAAACAACAGAAAAAGGGGAGAGAAAGAGTGACGTGGCAGAATAGAAGATTATTATTGGCAAATAAAGTTGGGCTGTATTATTTAAAATGTTTTGATTAGAGTTTCTTTTTAATGATGTGTCATAACCAGGAAAGCTGAAAATGCTGATGTGTTAGATTAGGAGAGAATCCAATTGTTATTATTGTATTAATCCTATTATTATTTCGAAAATTTTTATTTAATATAACTAAATAAAATTTTATAATTTAATGTTTTATTTGTATTTAAATTGTAATTATTTTTACTTCTAGGGATTAGTTTTTTTATTTATGTAATTAGACTTTGTAATTATAATTATAGTCTCTATTCCCAACATTAATATCTAATGAAAAGATGATGTTTCAAAAGTAAAATTCTAGTATATTTTTCAGTTAATAATTTATTTTCGTAGCAAAGGTTATTTTTTGAATTTTTTATTTAGTGATTTGCTATAATTAAATAAATTTTTTGAACTTAATAGTTTACCTTTATACCACTCGGAACCAACTAAATAACTTTATTTTTAAAAAAACTATCTTTATTTTCAATGTCAGTTTTCAAAAATGTCACATTTTTAAACCTTATAAAAATGCTCCAAACAATATGAAATTTACCCAAATACATATGTAACATTATTAAAACATATACAAACTATCTTTATATGTATCTAAAATCTTATAAATACCGTATAAAACCTTTAAAAACCTTTAAAATGTCTTGTAAAACATTAAAAACACCTTATAAAACCTTATAAATACTTGGATCGAGTTTCAAGTAGTAGTTACCATCCATAAATACCTTATAAACCTGATAAAACTTTATAAATTTTTCATATCTAGAAAAGAGCATTTTTGAAAATGGACATCTAAAAAGAGTATTTTTGAAAAATGGCACACCAAAAAAGAGATTTTTAACAATTTCCCTTAAAAAAATATCATTACCATGTGCACTCTAAATATAATAAATTTTATATAATTTAAATCTTATTAATTATTTTATATCTTTTGCAACTTTAAAGAATTAATAATTAGAATTTTCAAAAATCGTATTAGCTAGAGATACTGAATTAATGAC